ATGTTTATATTCATCATTCCTTTGAAACTAACAGAATTTTGGCCTGCCCCTATATCTTCTCACTTAATGAATTATTAAAGAGGTTAAAACTTTGGTAACTATATTTCCACCTGATGTGCATCCCTTGTGGTCCATTGCCTTGTGCATTTCAAAACATTCCTCTGGAAAGGAGACCAGAAAGCCAGAGAGGCCTGGAATAAAGAATGCTGAAGGAGCCCCTTTTGGGACATTTTTGAAGATAACATGGGGCCCTCCTGACCAATGTTTCCCAAACTGCCTAGAGTGAGATCACTTACGAGAGTTAAGTATTTGGAGTGGGGTCTGAGAATGATTTGTTAAACAAGAGCGTGGGGTAATCTGGGAAATGCTGCCTTCTAATCAGTAAATTTAGGAAATGCTGCCTTAGGCTGTGTTTGTGGAAAATCAATAGCCAGCGTCAGAACCTGAAGACACTTTCTTGCTTCCTCCCATTCTTACTTTTACATTGCCAAAGGGAGTTATAGTCATTAGCAAGTGAGAGTAACACCACCTGGCTGCCTATAATTCTGAAGTGAGTTATTCATTAGAATTTGGAAGAAAGAATTATGTCTCTAAAGAGCTAAAATCAATCAGCTTTCTTTTTTTACTTTTTTTCTGCCTTAATTTCAAAAATCACTTTACCTTTCATGATCTCCCACACATTGTACTTACCTTACTGTCAGCACTTACCATATCATGTCGGTTATTTTCTTAGTATTTGTCTTCTGGGTCCTCAGTTCCATCATAGCCACACACACACACACACACACACACACACACACACACACACGCACGCACGCACACACACACGCACACAATGAACTGAGCCCCTAGGAACAAAAATACTTTCATAATTCATTTCCACACACCCACTCAAGCCAAATATCAGGCATATAATGGGCATTCAATAAATAGCAATATATGAGTAAACATATGGACAAATGTCAGCTCTTTCCTCTTACGATATTAGAATAGAGTTAAACTGTACTCTTCTCAGAAATGGTGTGCCAAAATACTGACCTTTTAGAGATAGAATAATGGTTGGTATTAAGGGGTTTAAAATCCATTTCCTTTTACTCGTTATCTGTCTTTAGCCAAATAATCCGTATGTCTCAATTTTCCTATAAGTTAGAAATCATATTTACCTCACTGGGTTGCTGTGAGATTGTGTGAGCTTACTACGGATGTTCTTGGTATTTTGCTATTCTTAGTGATCCCTTACTATTATTTACATGGTATGGAGGAGTACACCTCAAATATACGATATATATTACATATTTTATATGTATTTTATATGCATGTATTTTACATATAAGTATATGCTAAAATATTTATATATTTGTACTTGAAATATATATTTATATTTAAGAAATGAACACTTTAACATTTCCATTACAAGTCCCACCAATTAGAGAATCATTTTAATGAGTAAGCTCCAGGGATGACTAAGTGATGGCACCTTAGTGGGAATTACTTTAATCAGCTAATCAGGTTGTTTTCTTCTTGACACTCAACTAAGATCAAGGAGAAAATCAGAATCTTGATGGCGGATTCTGGAGACAGGTAAAGAGGAAGAAGAGAATGCGGCTGCTTCCTGTGGGTGTCTGCAATTTAGAGGACACCTGAAAGGCTTTGTCTCCTAAGGGTTTAACAGAGCGGGAGTAAAGAAACCACCCCTACGTTCTTTCTCTTTCCTCACTGGCTTTTGTACTGTTTTTTGCAATCCTGGTATAAAGGCAACCAGGCAAGTTCTCATTCTCTAGAAAGGAAATGACATAATCTGCCGCACAAAACTCCCTGATGAGCACTGGTTTGTCTCCTTTCCTCTTGTCTACCCACTTCCATCCCTTTCTAATAGCTACCCCTGCTTGCTTGATGCCTCCCCATATCAGGTACAGACAATCTATATTCTAGCGTTTGTGTCTGTGCTCACCATGTGACCTTTGACAATGTGCTAACCTAAGTTTTAATTTCTTTCTCAGTGATGAGGGTAACAATAATCCTGTCAATGTAAACTAATAACTCTGTTTTACAAAAAATAAGGAAATAGTATATTTTGAGCCAAAAAGGAAGGACCATCATCCAGGAACTTGGATGCAAGTTTCTCTAAATGACATGTTCTGTCATGGAAGAGGTTACATGAGCTTTTACAGCATACGACAAAGAAGGCCATAAATCAGTACATTGGTGGGGACATCAGGTAGGCAAGCCTCAACCTGGTGGGGAAATCTCTACTATATGTAGTCTATAGCTTTTGAATAATACACAAGATTTTTAGATTTGGATTGATGAAGGCTAGAGGTTTACCTAACATGAGAATGTTACGTCAGATGCAAGGTTAAAAGTAAATGGCTAGTTTTCTAAAGGTCTAAGAATAGCCCAAGATAATTTTGGTCTCAGGCTGTAATTATTCAGTCACAATCACTCAGCCAAGAACAAACAATTTGTTGAATCTTTAGAATCATGCAATTTCTTCAGAGACCTCTTATGGGATTATAATCAGCATTTGAGGTCATATATGTAAAGTGCTTAGCATGACACCAGACATTGAGTAACCATTCACTAGGTGTTAGCTATTAGTCCAAATATAGAATATATCAGGCACTATTCAGCCTTTCAGGTGTACTTGAATGCCTGAGCCCCCTGAAGCAAACAAGTGAATGTCCTTGCCATTATCTAAGTGGCTAAGTAATAGTCATTTAATATGCAATCAAATTAGACATAGACACTCCTCAAAAGCTCTAAGAGCACATACAGCAAAAAAACAAATTCAGTTTTTAAAATGTGAAGTATCGAAGTTATAGAAATTCCTGGAATGGGCCAGATGGGTGGATGACCCAGGCAGGGTAGATTTGCAATCAAGGCAAGGCTAGTTTGTATTAACAATATTAGGCTCTCACACCGATTTTTATTATATTCAGGAATGCCTTTCTTCTCTGGTTATCTTGTGACATCTTCAAGAGTAGACCCTGCAAGCACTTTTTGTAAAACCTCTTCACACACAGAATATACTCTCCTTATATGGGCTGAATATTAGGAGCTTCACAAGTACTTGCTTTATGAATGCATGAGTGAATGAATTAGCACCCAGCGAACCCCATAGTTGTCCTAACTATGTTTTCTTACCTGTACTACCCCAACACTCAGTCACAGCTATACAAAAAAAAAGGTAGTTTGTTCCCAACTTAAGAAATAGCTGCATAGTAGACATATGTAGCAATAAAAATACATACAGTTCTGTTTGGGGGAGAATTTATAGCACACAATAGTCTCATGTAATAATAAGCAAAACCATCTCTCATTCTCCTGTCTCCCTTAGATCACTGTAATTATGACCCTGTAGATCAGAATGCTTATATCTCATTTTTAAGCTTTTCATTCTCAAAAATCCTATAAGTTCATTTTAGGCCTTTGTTTATATATAGCCAAATGTTTGAACTAAAAGAAAGTAAATCTTTAACCAACTAAACAAAAATGATGGCTTCGTCACATGTTTTTTCTTTTCATGTTTGCTTTTAAACAACAACAACAACAAATCTTTGGGCAGCATGTCTTAAAATACAGTCTGGAGATGACCAAATATAGGCATAAAATATAGGAGATTGAAAAGGAAATAAATCCAAGAAAAGAGTATTATTAGGGAAAAAGAAGAGACAGCCTTTCTGGTCCCTGCTTTATTGGAATAGAGCAGGAGTGAACAGCTGCTCATATCAGAAGAGTCTTGGATGAGAAAAACTGGGCAGCAGAATAGCAGTGTTTTGCACATTTGGTCAATATCTGTTGTACAGAAGAAGCTACTTCAGAGGCTACCGCGCCTATTTTCCATCCCCTTCCTCCAGTACCAAATAGCCCTGCTCCAGAGAGACATCATGAACACACAGCTATAGCTTGAGAAGCAGTGCTGTACTGGTTTTTTCTTGAGAACCAGAGTCTCCAGAATGGTAGCCCCCCAGGCAGGAGGCTGGCACGTGCCCACAACCTCAGGGCCCACGAGTGAAGGCTTGTGGACATTTTGAAAGTGAATAGCACTTCCTGGTCCAATTAGGTTACCTAAAAGTCTAAGACACAAAACAGAAATGTGCTAGAATGTAAATGAAGTTCTTTGAATTCCTGACTTTCTATAAACGTTTCTCAGAGGAGGTGATAGAGCTTAGAATACTTGGGTCAGGGCAAGAGATCAGGGCCAACCTTCCTCATTTTGAGAGTGGCAGAAAAAACTCAGACTCCTCCCCAATCCTTTGGACGCAGTTTTTCCCTCAGAGATTGGAACATGGAAGATGAGGGGTCACAACCAGCCACACTGGCACAGACTTATTTTGTATAAGTTCTTATAGATATTGTTTCGGGTGTTTTCAAGCTTTAAAATCTGAAGCCAGATGGATTATTTTTCTTCAAAGGAATGCTTTGGGAAAAATGTATTCTTAAATTATTTTCTGGGTATCTAGTGAGCTTTCTGCTGGGCAGAGAGCTTCAGGGAGGCATTTTTGGCACAAAACACACATTGGGAAGTCACCCAAAGTCTCTTATTACCAGCTGTGCATCTATGGGCATATCACTTAGCATCCCTGAGTTTGAACTAGATCAGCGATTTTCAAACCTTAGTATGTCTAGGGGTGTTTATTTTTAAATGAAGATTCATGGGCCCCAGATCCAAAGATTCTGACTCCCTTGATCTGCAGAGGATTCAGCAATCTCCATCGTTAGCAAGTACTCCCACTGTGGACCACTCTGAGAAACACTGCACTAATTGATTTAGAAGATCCCTTCCAGCACTAACACTGTGAATTTGCTCTCTCTTTAGTAAAATGTCTTGGACATTTTGCCCCCACTTCAATATCGATCTGCGGTATGGTAACCACAAGGAGCAGAAAGAGAGTGTCAGCATCTATACTGAGCTGCATGAGGGAAGCCAGAAAGGTTTATTGGGTTCCCATCTCTTTGCTACGAGAAACACTAACACCCTTCTTGTCTTCAATACCCAGGTGACAGGTGGAATCTGGAACTTCAGCCGCATTTGCTGTGACATTTTTGTCACCCTGGATGTCATGATGTGTACAGCCAGCATCCTGAACCTCTGTGCCATCAGCATAGACAGGTAGGGCTGCGATTCTCCTCCTTAGGAAAGAGAGATGACCCAAAAAGGTGAGACAGTGAGACTACCTCTAAGTAGGGACTTGCCACAGGGACACTTTCTTTTCCCTTTTTTTCTTGTAGACTCTGGTTTGTGAAGGAGAAGAACAGTTACTCTATCAGATTGCCTAGGCTATAGCTCAGTGGCTTTAGCCCTTGCCTGGCAAGAACAAGGTCATGAATGTGGTCCCCAGTACCAAAAAAAAGATTTAAGTAAAGATTTCCTAGGCTTTCTCTCCTTCAGTCTACTCAACAGGATTCTGGGTTTACTTCGGGAGTTTTTGTGATTTCTAACTAGAAGGAAAGAGGGAGCTTGATGGGTGAGCTGACTTGGTTGGCAGAAAATTCTGTACTTGTTTTGTTTGCTTTCTTTTTGGTGAAGACACGGAAGCAGGGAGGAGAAAGAGAGACACAGACACGGGTGAATTTTCCAATCAGGGGAGAGGAGAAAAGTGAGTGAGAGAGAAAAGAAATTTGGGAAAGTATGACTATGAGCTATAGAATTCCCTCGTAGAAAAACAAGGAAAATTGTTAAGTTGCTCTTGGCCTACTGAAGTGGATTTCTGTGATTCTGGCTCTGCTGTTTGTGTTCCACCCAAAAACTTCACTGAAAGTACCCATTTCCTGTCTTCCTCTGCTCTTTCTATCTCGTCCCCAGTGTCCCCTGGGCCTATGGAATGAAAGTTAAAATTATCTTTACAGTCTGGGTTCAAGGTTTTCTCCACATGGCCTCAGTTCACCTTCTCAGCCTCTTCTCTAAGACCCACCTTCTCGTGCTGTGTATCTGTCCCAGCTGCCGCCCATCCCTTCTAAATTCCTGCAGTTTGACTCTCCCCGCCCTGAGCCAGCATTCTGCTCTCTCTTGTAACGCTCCCAGAACAGCCAACTGCCTTTCCTTGCCTAGCTCAGTGTCAAGCACTGGATAGTAATGACCCGAATTTCCTTTATGCACTGAAATGGGAGTGTATAAAAGAACAAACAGAAACTGTTTCCAGTGCAGGGTTTTCCTCTATCACTTGATTAGCTCTCCATAAATTAAAGAACATGTTCCCAATTCTGAAAATAATGCCATTAAAAAGTATATTTAAAAATAGAGGACATGGTTGTCTAATTCTGTATATATAACAAAAAAATTATATATTTAAGTGGATTGTATACAATCCACTTATATTATAATACGTGAATATTTCAATAAAATCATTTTAGAAAATGAAGAGATAGGCCCAGGGTTGTACATTCTTATAATGCAGGAACTCAAGGAAACTGAGGCAGGAGGACCACCAATTGGAGCCCAGCCTGAGCAACTTAGTCATGTAGGGGACATCCTGTCTCAAAACCAAAATTCAGAAAAGGGTTAGGGAATATAGCTCAAGGCAAAGATGCTGAGTTCAATACCCACTACTTAAAAATAAATAAAAGAAGAAGAAGAAGAGAAAAAAAAAAAGAAAGAATAAGGATCGTATAATATTTTTAACTCTAATATCTAAACCCGTTAAATAACTTCTAGACTTTAAGTACCTGTTTCAGTAATACACTTAAGGAAATACTGGGGTGCAATTGGGGTGGCCTCAAGCACCCCAGATTTTATATCAGATCTAAATCTTTATCATGAGTGAATCTCCTTGCTATATCCATATAATCTTGAAACAGAGAACATTGAACTAAATTCACTGGTCCTTGGCTGAGGGCAGCCAATGGTTCTTAACACAAATAGCAGTAAGAGCCTTTAGAAAGGACACGAGAGGGTGGAGAAAGGTTAGCCTTGGAAGGCAGGAGAAGGAAGCAGAGGGAAAGTCTACCAGAGCGGGTGGGACATTCCCACCCAGGCCTCCTCCTTGCCTTCTTGGGTGTGTCTGTATACTGCATTCACTCACATACAGGAGCTATGGGTGAGGCCAAAGAGGCTGAACCCTACAGAAGGTAGGAGAACAGAATCCAGCCAGCACTCTGTTTGCCAAGCAAGTCCTGAGTCAGTCTGAGAAGGTGACTAGTTGCAATTTGCCAGCCAGGAAGAGGCATCTTTCTGTAATTTGCACTAGAGGACCACTTTCCTGGCCGCTGCCATGCTTACCACATACTTCTCTTTCACCACATCAAACACAAGCAACAGTAAAGCCTGAATCAGCTTTTGATCCATACAAGAAGACCCCCAAAAAGCACAGCACTCACATGCCTGAAACCCAAAGGCCTAGCCATAGGTCCCAGTGGATAAGGGCGCTTTCTGGGCTTGTATATCAGTATGGACCAGTCCTCCTCAAACCTCAAAATGGAGGTCCTTGCCTATTCTAGGAATGAAAATAGCTCTCAGAAAAACTGTCACCATTCTCCTTCACAGCAGTTTGCAGTACACAGTATTAAAATCTGTTCATGTGATGCCAGATAGCTGGTCAATTCATTAAAAAGCAGTCGTTCACACAGATCTTTGGTCTTCACACAATGCCAGTCATCAATCTGACAAACTTGACCAAATGGATTCAGTATTTTTTGGTCATGAAGCCCTGATCTGTAATAACAGGGTGGTAAGAGACAGAAAAGAAAAAGAAATGATAAAAGCGTTTTTGAAAGCAAATAATACTATTGTCATTAGATTCTGAGGCATAGCTCTGGATGCTTGGATTAAAGCTGCCTTTTCTTTTTTAAAAAGCGGAGCGTGAAGTCTGTGAGCACAGGCCCCATGCCGCTGGGGCTCCGAGCCCTGCCAGAGGGTCAGCCCCCTCCCACTGCATCCTGGGTCAGAGCTAACTCAGAGGCGGCTGAGAATGTGTCAGAAGACAGGGACACAACCAGGCGGTGAAAATTAGAGTCCTCCAAGAGGAGCCCGGGAATAATGCAACCAAATTCATTCACCAGGGAGTTCTTTAAGTGTCTCTCAAATGGCACCCATCACACAGGCGAGCCTCTGCGTCTTTGCAGGGAGCACAATAGGTACCAGATGAGTCACAGGCACCTTGGATTTTTAGTTTGCATCTAAATAAGCACTTTATATTTGCAAAGGGCTTTCCAGTCATTTGCAAAAAGCTTTCTCCTTCAACAACTCCACGAGGGGAGTCCATGGAACTAAAGATTTATTGAGCCCCCTGTCTGACCAAATAAAAGGTGGTGAAAAGCAGCCCTTGCACAGCCCGGGGCTCATTAAACCCAGGCAGGGAGTTAGAGTCAGGCCTTCCCACCAGGCCAGCCTTTCTCCTCCCCCTGTCAGCCTTCTCAATAGGCACCCTCATCACCAACCCCTCCCATCTCTCACTTTGGGATAGGGATTGGGGTGGAAAGCTAGGGCACTGGGACCTTCAGCAAAGTGACAAGCCACAGAGACCCAGCTGCTGGAACTGGGTATTGGAAGGCACACCATAGTTAACTCCCTTGAGTAAAGATGCTTCACGACTGCAGCCAGTCCTACAGCACCTTAGCACAAGGCTGGAACTAGAAACTGGGTCCTTGGATTTTCCCACTAGCACTTTCTGAATTACAGTGAGCAGCTCCTTCAATGGTGGAAGTAGAGATGCAGGACAAGGCTGCATGTATCAGCTATACTTGTGCTAACACTCACGTGGCATTAGTCTAGAAACCGCAACAATAACAGAAATAGCTTCCACTTATTTACATGTACTGTATGCCAGGCACTCACAGCTGTGCATTCATTACCATTAACCTCACAGCCACCAGCAAGGTGGATGTGTTATCTCCATCATGCGGAGGTAAGCTGGCCAAGATGGCCCAGCCAGTAATGCAAAGAGTAAGCATTCGGTGGGCTTTTCTACCAGACCCTGAGCTGCGAGGCTGCACTCTCAGCTGCTGGCTCTGAAGACACAGGCCCTGTCAAAGTTCAGACTCTCCCACCTAAAGGCGAAGTGACTTCAGGTGAACTAGTTAACCACAGAGGCTCCACTTCCTTAATCTGTTTAGTAAACAGAACAGCAACAGCCTCCAAGATTGCTAGTTAAATGAATTACTATTTATAAGGCACTTCCAACAGTGCCTGACACATAGAAAATGCGATATCCTTGCTTGTTTGGCAAAGAAATAAACTGAATGCTCCCTGGTATCCAGGAGAAAAAGGAAGACAGTCATAAACTCACTGACTGAACAATCACTGGTGCCTTGGGTTAGCACAAAAACAACGACATAGCACCCTGATAGTCATACTGACTTTGGAGCGTTGAATTCGCACTACTCGGTTGTGCTGAAAAGCTTCACAGAGATAGAACCTCATTTAGTATTGGTTAATATTCCATTAGAGTGGGTATCGGTATCCCACAGTAGTGACAAGGAAATTGAGTCAGAAAAGCAAAACCCCTAGTCCACAGCCACACTGCTAAGTGGCCGAGCTGGGATTCAACAAGTCCTCTGCAAAGCCCACGGACTCCAGGCCGCGCACGGCCAGCCTCGGGGTCTGCAGCGATCCTCCCCAGGACGCGCCAGGGAGCTGGATCGGATCGCACCGGAGAGGGCCGGTGAACCGAGATCGCCAGCACAGTCCAGGGCTCGGCGGCGCGCGCACCGTGTCTGCTGCAGCCCGGAAGGCCGCGGGTCGTGCGCGGCGGCGTGCGGAGGTGGCCCGGGTCCAAGGCTGCTCCGCGCCGGAGCCCAGTCGGCCCTCGCCGTGCACGCCTGCACCCGCCGAAGAGGAAACCGGGGGCTAAAGAGTCGGCCTGCGTGGGAATCCGGGCTCCGGAGGGCTCCGGGAAGCCAGGGGGCAGGGCTCCCCGGCTCCGCACCGAGCCCGAGCGGCCCCCAGGTGAGTCTGAACTTCTCACCCCGCCGAGCCGGCGAGTTCTCGCTGCATTATGGTGCCCTCCGCTGGCGGATTCTGGAACAGCTCGACGCCTCGGTGGCGGGGGGGGGCGGTGCAAACGGCGGGGGAGGGGGAACCTCATTTCCTCTTAGCAGTTTAAACATGTTTTTCTAAAAAGAAAAAGTGCAATGTGAAAGTGGTACTGCCTAGTCTCGTCTCTCACTTCTTAGCCAAGCTAACGAGAGAATCTTTAACGGGAATATTCTCTACTTAAGATTTTCTCAAACTTAGCTACTAAAATGCAGTTGCTTGTTTAAAACACATTTCTGGGTTCCACTTCGAAATCAAAAATCAAAATCTCAGCGACATGGCCCAATAATCTTCGCTTTAGTAGGACACACACAAAGCAATTAACAGAGTCAAGCTAATTAAGGAAAGGAAACTGTTCTCTGGCATCCACAGCGTTCTCCAAGTACAAACCACCCTTGCCGCTCCAACTTAGAAACTTACCCATAACCTTGAGGGGAAATGGGACACTCTCGGGAGAGACACTGGCTCGGAAGGCGAGAGACCTGGCTCTGCACCACCCACACCTTTGCTAGACTCCATCTCTGATTCCTCATTTATCAAATGGAGCCAGAGTGTCCTATACTTCCTGAGTCAGAACCTGCAAAAAGTTGCTGAACAGTATAACATATTTAGGGAAAATTACAACTCTCGGGGATCTACTAGAGCCAATTTAGGATGACTAGTCAGAGCTGCATGGGAAAACTTTAAAAGTCACAAGCCTTGGGTATTGAGTCTGGATGTCTTCAGGAAGACAAGAAGTGGAACTAAATTAAGAGTTGAGAGGAGCTGGCAATGTCTGTTCTAGATATCTTAAGTTTGAGATAGCCACGGAAGAGCTGTCCAGGTAAGTCCCACGGCTGGTAGAAACGCGTGTGAAGTATTCCCACATGTAATGTAACAATATCCAATGAGAGTGAGAATCATTTGTTGGCATGATACTAAAATAAGCCTCCATTGGATATCACTCGACTCTTTTTGTAAACCCCTTTTACTCAAAATGCTGTCACACTGAGGCCTAGGATTTTTATTAGATATAGGCAGGGAGTAAACCTCTTTCTGCTGTTGCCTGGGAGACCAGGAGAAAGTGAAGCACTCAGACCAGTGTCAGAGTCGTCAGAGGGAAAGGATGTGACTGCAAGGCTGCTCTGCTCCACACTCAGGCAAAGCTCCTCAGTCACCCAGTGCACTGCATGTTTCATTCTTCCACCCTTTGCTCATCCTTTGCAGTGAGTTCTCTCTTTTCCCAGCATGTCTACCATTTTTATGCACAGACTTTTCTGTCCTCCAGTTAAATCATCTATCTCCTGCCAGAATATCAACTTGACCCTTTCTCTAGTAACCTTCTTCAACTTGCCTTTTAAGCAGTCCACAGCCTGTCTCACCGTGTCTGTCCTCTCTCACTTCTTACAGGTACACTGCGGTGGTCATGCCAGTTCACTATCAACATGGCACAGGCCAGGGCTCTTGCCGGCGTGTGGCCTTCATGATCACAGCTGTCTGGCTGCTGGCATTTGCTGTATCCTGCCCTCTTCTCTTTGGCTTTAACACCACAGGTAACATAGACGCCTTCACATCCATCACCTGTGAGATTCACAGAATACCTGAGTGGCTATGAGTGGGGTCTACCCTGATGCTTCTGACCCCCAGTCAGAATATTTTGAAATCAAATGAGGATGCTACAGACTGCAACGTTTTGGCCTTCGTTGTTCACAAAATATAGGGAAAAACATTGTCAATTACTGCCACAAGGGTGAAGTTCTACCCAATTAATGAAAAATCATGAAAGGAATGTCATTGTACTTATTTGAGAGAATGTAGCAGCTTAAAATCTTTATTAATAATTCAGGTGAGATTTACTAATGAATATATACCAGACCTTCAATGCAAAGGACATCATAAAAGTCCTGGAATTTCTCCAAAATTACTGACATGTTTTTTTAAATTTTTAATTTGCAAAATTTGTGGCTATGATGGTACGCAGCACATCTACTGAATAGATTGGGAAATTAGCAATGTGTATACCTGTGTTGTTTGGGATTTTAAATATATGACATTTATCCAAATTTATATATGTCCACCTTTTAGCTTTAGGAAATTCATATGTTGAGTGAAAGTTATTGGTAATATATCATGCATATTTGTTAAGAGATCACTGAATGACTAGAGTTCTGGTGTTCTTTTGGGTTTCTTATTTTGTCTATTTGCATCAATTAATTCAATTCCTACTATGTTCCAGGTTTGTGAGCTTCTGTTTTGTACATACTAATCACATAGCAATGTGCTTACATATATGCAGCTATTATATGAAACACACTACATGTCTTATGAGGTAGGCAAATTCTGACTCATAACTATTCTTCTAAGTGTCATGTCCTAGGCAATCATTTAGAAATCAGGACACATTTAGAAAGAGAGAGACCCTAAAATCAAAAAGTCTAGATTTAAACTATAGTTCTACTGTTTAACAGCTCTGCTTCCTTGAACCAGCTACTTACCTTTTTAAAGTTTAGTCCTCTTATGTTAAAATTGGGATAATACAATGGAGTATAAACTTAAGAAAATTCAAATATATAAATTCAGGAATTTTTCAATATTTGTTTATTATATATGGCCCCATATACATAAATTCAGTGACTTCTGTCCAAATTAACATATTTTCAGTGGGTATGGAAGTTTAGTCTATAATCCCAATATTCTTAGAATGTGGGGCAAGACGCTCATGAATTGGAATAAACTTAGCAATTTAGCAAGACCCTGTTTCAAGTGAAAAAAAAGAGAACAGACAAAGAACTGAGCATGTAGCTCAGTGTGAAGGCCTTGGATTCAATCCCTAGTGCCACAAAAATTAAAATAAAGTAACATGCTCCTTTTGAGTGCTATAATATATGACATACAAGGTTATATTTCTTTATGTGTGATGTAGAGGATTTTTCATGTATTCCTTTATGTGTGATGTAGGGGATTTTTCAAAGCAAATTTTGAGTCCAAATAATTTTTAACTTATTAATTGGCTAGGCTCTAACCCTTCCTGTCACTACAGTCTATCTCCTTTTTGGAGACTTTTTGCAATTAAATGAGGATTATGTGGGACAACATTCAAAGATATGCCAAGCGTATGTTACCTACTTAAAGCCAACCTTCTTTCCCTGCTACACTGAAAGTTAAGTTGCCAAGTTATCAACAAATATTTACCTAGTTAACCTGGAGTATTCCTGAAGTGTGATGCTGTTACCATCTTTACACTACTCTACACCATTTGTCACTTACACAAGCACATGTTCACACCACAAGGCAGTATCCCCAGTACCACTGACTCTGTGACACTAAAATATCCTTCCTGGTGAGCATTCCATATCTTTACGGGTCAGTCAGATAACTAAGTCACCTTTAGCAACCTTGTTTCTATGTGCAAATGCATTCTAAGTGAGAATTTGTCATGTGGGGAGCTCAAAATCAGTACTTGGCCAAGGCGCTGCTCAATGCTTGCCAGCAGCAAGTCCTCACCAGTGTGTGCCTGGCCATCAGTGTCTGCTGGGCCAAGTGTGGTCCCCTTCCCCATGCTGGGGGGCTGGCGGGGCGAGTTGATTCACTCTCACAGTGCATAAGCTCCCTGGGAACAGTCGAAACTGTCTCAAAATTTGACATTAGACAGAGTTCCCAGTTAATGTCAACATCTAAAGCAAAGAAGAACGATGAGCTAACCACAGTGTTGTTGCCACCGATGAGATCATTACTGTTCCAGAAACAAAACCAAGGAAAATCTTTCCAAAAGGATTTTCAAATTTAGAATTGAGAAGGCAAAAAAGGCCTGTGACTTAGCACATGTACGTACTGCTCTCAGCTACCTCCCTCTGTCATATTCTCTGTCTCTCTGTCCTCTATCGCAAACCCTCCAATGGGCTTGTCGTAAGAGCCCAGTAGATATGAGCTGATGATATCATTATTATTTATTAAAAGTTTTTTGTGCCTCAAAATTTACACATTTGCTCCAAGGAAAATCTAAGCAGTGGCAGCTGTGCTGGTGTTTGAAAGGGAAATCAGTTTGGGCAATTAGTGAGTGAAATTCAAGGTAAGGAAGCCTAACCATCCTTCTCTGTCTCAGTCTGAGCTTCACAGCGTAGCTTCATTATCTTGATAGATTTGGGTTTCTTTATCAAGTTACCCACCTACTAGAAAATTTCACTTGAAAGCCCAATATAAATGACTTCTCTCTCAGCCATTCTTTGTATTTTCTATGTGAAACATAAAAAGGGAAAGGGGAGAGTGCTGCCAATACCTGATTTTGGAAATAGCTGGACTTTCAATAAGATGTACAACACAATAGTATAACTCACAGTTGCTCCTAATTCCTAAAGAAAGGGCAACAGGAGGCAGGTGTTAGATCACAGAGATGCCGAACTATGGGGCCTGACTGCACAGTGTTGTCCCAGATCCCAACAGAGGCCCACCAGCCTAGTCAAATGTCACAGCATATGGCCCCCAATAACAGCAGAGCATGGCACATTGGCACAAGAAGCCATCCTAAAGATCCCTGAATGAGTAGCTCATTCTTTCATGTCACCGACAAGAAAAGTAAATACCATTCAAGTTTCTGCTAAATCAGTTAGCTATTGTGTTATAAAAAAAAAAAAAGAATTCTAGAATGAATAAAGAATAACTGGTGACACAAGTTTAAGAAACCTTCAAGGGAGGAAAACGTTCAGCTTTAAAAAAAATCCTATCATCTGGCTTGATTTTTCTTGGAAAATAAGAAATGGAGGAGAGCTAGTTAGTCAGGGGAAGCTTTGTTGTTCAAAAAGTGAAAAGAATAGACACACACAGTTAAAAGAATAACAGCTCACCCTAAAGTCAAATGCATCAACATCTCCTGTCTTTGGAGCCAAGTTGAAGTCAAAGTTCATGAATCTTCCAAGTCAACCTTCTTTTGACCTTGTTATTTATATCACTGTGAATCTCAAGTTCCCTGGGTAGCCCACAAAGGATCCTTACACCCCTGAACAGAGTGTTTTCATCAGCAGCACAGACTCCATAAATGTTTGTGGAATAGGCAAGTAAATGAACCTTCACCATCATCCTTTCTTCCTTCGACGGCAAAATTCATTGCAATAAGCATCTCTAATGTTGAAGAATGAGATTAGATAAACCCACATCCCACCTGGACTTCCCCATTATCTCCTTGCCCCAGGTGCATAGATGCTTACATAAAATGCTCATTTGTATATTTGACTCATTTATCCATTATCCATATATTCCTTCAATAACTGCCATGTCTGCACAGTACTGTTTTGGTGAGATCATCAAGACAAGGCACCACCTCTCCTGGGGAAGCCTCAGCTTCTTGGAGGCCTCATTGTCCAAATCACCTCTTCAACATCAGTAGAGATCCTTTGAAAATTGCTGCTGTTGATGCCTCTCCACTGCTCTGATGACAGGATACACATATACAGGTCCAGTCTGCTGGGGACTGAGGCAGGACCCCTTACATTAATCCCTGATGCCAGCATCACTCTGCCTTCTGTGCAGCCCCAAGACCACATGGCATGGGGAAATTCTGGGACAGGCTGCAAAATTTGGTGAAAATGCATGCCTGGGCATTGTTATATGAATGACAGCATACTAAACCCTTATAATGCTGATTATTTAAAAGCAGTAGTTCATCTATAAAATTTAGAGGTCTGCCTCCCAGGACCCAGGGCAGAAAAGGATGGTGAGTGGATGTTGGGAGGACATTTGGAGAATATCTAGGATGACAAGAAGACCAGCAGGATGAAAACTTGATAAGATTCCTACTCCCTCATTGTAGTAAGCATTTAGATCCTGGTCAGCTGCTGGCTGCAGGGGAGTGGGTTTCTGGGAAGAGACTGATCACAACCAACATGGCTCCTTAGAAATTCAGAAAGACCACTAGCTGCCACCCCTTCCTCTTCCATTCTCATTTTCATTACCCCTAAATTAACAAAAGTTCCAAATTTAGTGACCACTACTCAGCTATTTGGTGACCCCTCTCTGAGCAATTTCCCACATGATACTGCCACAAGTTTCTGTGAGATAATGGAAATTTTACTCCCTTCCCAAGAGACTCAGAGAATTTAGAAGCAGCACACAAAGCTTTTGATGGTAGCTGTCTTAGCCACTTTCTCATCACTGGGACAAAGTACGCGACACCCGCAACTTAAAGGAGAAGATGTTTACTTAGCTCATGCTTTCCATCAGGTTCAACTGAAAGTGAGTTTAGTCCAAGGCAAGAACTGCTTGATAGAAGGATATGGTGGAGGAAGGCTGCTCACTCCTTGGCAGCCAGGAAGCAGAGTCCTGCTCCCAGTCATGCTTCCCAGTCCTGCTCTCAGGTGACCTACCTCCAACCAGTCCCCACTTCCTACAGCACATTCAGCTACTGAACTCATCGATGATGAATCCGTTGATGGGTACAACCCCGCAAAGATCGACCTTCTGACAGTCCCACTTCCAAACACAGGAGACTTCAGAGAGACATTTTAAATTTAAACCATGACATTCTACCCCTGCACCTCAAAATATTTACATCAGTCTCGTGTGTGAGATGCATTTGGTCCACCTCTAAGAGTTGCCAAGGTCAACAGATCCAGCATTGCTGAAAACTCCAAATCCAAAGCCTTCTCTGAGATGAAAGGCAGACTCGTAGCTGTGAGCCCCTGTAAAACTCCAAAAGGAAGTTAACCACTTCCAACATACAGTGGCATAGGTCAAACTTTCCCATACCATAAGGGAGGAGTAGGTAAACAGACATAAATCTGATCAAAGCAAAATCAAAAACCAGTGGAGAAAACATTAAATTCTATAGCTGCATGAGACAGTCTGTGATAAGATGTGAACAGCAAAGAGCTTGGGCAGCCCTACTCTATGGCTTTGTATGCTGCAGCCTACAGGACCTCTTTCTGGGGCTGGCTTCACCTCCTGTCTGCAGCTTTCCTGAGCTGCCTTTCCACATTCCTGGCATCTCCATCTTCCTCTGGTGTCTACTGCACCTTCACCTTCTCTCTGCCAGGTTCACGCACTGCCCTCTCAATGCTCTTTGGCCAGTCCTACCCATGGATGATGCCAAGGTCTGCTGCCAGTTGAGAAGTAGTCAGCCCCACTTGGACTGTGGCTGCAGTGGCTTCTGAGTACCTGGCTGAGCACAGTGAAATGAATCTTAGGGAACCAGTTCCTAAGGTGGCCCTTCTCAAGCAAGGAGGAGACCTAAAAGCTCACTTCTCAAATGAGAGCTTTACCCTTCTGCACCTTTGAGCCTATGACGGGCAGGATCTTGCTGATTTTTGAGATGCTTTCAAGCTGTATTTTTCCTATTGTCCTGGTGTACACTAGTTGGGTTATTAAAATACTAATCTGTTTGCAAATTTTAACTAATCACCTTTCTAAACCTCAGCTCTGACTATGACACTTCAGGGGACATTTTGGATCTAAATCATAACAGTAGTATTGTCAGTAAAACACCCCACTGATCACCAAGCACATTCTTCTCACTTTAGGTCTTAGACATTGCCCTTTCCCATCCCAAAAAATATTGTTCCCTACTCTGTATGTTTACAAATTTCATACCAATTAATACCTTTACGATTTCATCCCAACTAATATCTTTACAAATAACAAATAATATAGTAAATAAATAATGAAAGTAGCTACTGTTCATTGTAACTAATATAATCACTACACAAATATTTTTGTCTTTCTCTTATGGATAATAAAACTGAGGCTTTGCAGTTAGAGAGTGTGTCCAAGATCACACAGATAACAAGTGGGAGATCTAGGCCTGTTAGTGTCATCTGGCCTCTTCCTAGCTCAGAAGACTAAGAAGCAGAAGGAGAGCCTCTTATAATCACTGGCTTCTCTCATCAGCTCATATCTTTTTAAGACTAGATCTTGGGTTGGAGAATTCCCAACATTTTATGAAGATTGGACCAGACCAGTTGCCGACAGGGCTGCACAGGGCACAAATATGCCATAATCTTAGTAGTAGAGAGAGAAGAAGCATCAAAAATCACAGAACATTGGTTTTAGAGTCAGACTGGCTAAAGGAATGTATCTTTCAGGTTGTGTAGCCTTGGGCCTTTTACTGAACGTGTCTGAGCTCCCATATGCTCCTCTAAGAGAAAAGACAGTAACAGCACCTGCAAATGTTGTGTACAAAGCCATTGGCACACAGCCTGGTAGACATTAGTTTGCATCCCATTTCCCTTTCAAGATGAAGCAAATTTCAGACCCATCCAGGGTATCAGGAGAATTTCAGTGTCTGTCAGTAAAGACAAAGGTATAGGAATCTCCTAAAATGGAGGGGCAAAAGCGCTTCAGGACATGAAGCAGGAAGAAGGACATTTCTGAATTCGCACTCTCTACTCTGACAGTCTTGTCAGGTCTCTTCTATTCCACCCCACCTAGTGCTGGGATTCCCAGCAGATGCCCACCTTCTATTTAGCCACCACCTGCTCCACATCCCAATTCAAAAGAAGCTCCTTCTTTTCATTACTTTCCAACAATCCTTCCATGCCCCAGCAGCCCTTTTCTAGTGGCTGCAACCCTCCTGGGCCTTTCCCTGTCCCTTGGCTCCTCGGCTGCTCTTTCACAACGCGCAGAAGGGCTCATCTGTTTATCCAGACTGTTCACCCCTTCAAGGGCAGACACCATGTCTTAGTCATCTTTGCAGCCCCAGTCAGAGCTCTGTCTGGCATATAATCATGTACAAAGTTTCTTTTTAAGCAAACTGTAAGAAACACACAAATGAATTAGCCCTCTAACTTCTAGAAGTTAACAGCATAAGTGTCCAAGACTATATGCCACCCCTGCTCCATGGCATTCGGGGGGTGGAGGCATCATGTGCCATGTGGGTTGTGCTCCATGCTTACTACTGAGATCAATACATAGCTCAATGCGTCCTCTTCTCCCCTTCTCTCCCCACAGGGGACCCCAGCACCTGCTCCATCTCCAACCCTGATTTTGTCATCTACTCTTCAGTAGTGTCTTTCTATGTGCCCTTTGGAGTGACTGTTCTTGTCTATGCCAGGATCTACATGGTGCTGAGACAAAGGAGAAGGAAACGGATCCTCACTCGACAGAACAGTCAGTGTATCAGCGTCAGGCCTGACTTCCCTCAGCAAGTAAGCACCAAGAAGGGCATATCAGGAAGATGGCACCAAGCCCCAAGCCTGTGTTACCTGTGCCTGTCATGTCTCCATTGCCACTTAGTAGAAATGGATGTGACACTCACTTTCTAAACTGGTAGTGTCTGAGCCTTGAAGATAGGAAATACAATCTCAAGAGTACATTGACAGTCTCCCTGAGAATATACCTTAGTTGGCAAGATGGGAGGAAAGCTTCTGGCTTTTTCTGATTCCTTCAGAGCTTTACATTTCCCACAAATGGCCATCAGTCCCACATAGTTGAGGTTTGATTTGATTTGATGAGGGAAGCATGTTAGAATGGCAATTGTACCCTACTGTGCTGGTGAGTTCTAAGAATCAACATTTTTTCCAAACCATTAATTCATTCCAGGAATCACTGGGACCCAGTGAAACCACTTTTCCTTCCTGGCCTGCCTGTATGTCAAGGCATTAGCCCACAGGTAAAATAGGATGAGTCTTCCTAGGCTCTGAAAGGAGGAGTGTTGTCTCATCTCTGATCTTCCCTTGCTTGGGCTTTAGATTCTCCTTAGCCCAGTGCCTGGCACATGGTGATGAACTTAAAGCATGAAAACCAATCACTTATAATCTATTAGGGAAGGGACCATGGGAATATAATGTACTTTCTGCCTTCATTTATTTAGACAAATAAATCCCACCTCCACCCAGTCCATGAGCAGCACAGAATTGAACAGGACACTGGCTCTATGTAACATAAAGACAGTAAAGTACCCAAATGGGAAGTAGAAAAATAAAAGACTGGGGCTGGGGATTTAGCTCAGCGGCATGAGCACCTGCCTTGCAAGCAGGAGCTCGTGAGTTCGATCCCTGGTACCAATGAAAATGAAAAATACAAAAAAAAAAAAAAAAAAAGAAAGAAAAGACCGATTTGCTCAGGAAAAAAAACTTCATGGACCGAGTTTGATCTTGGAGGCTGACAAATTTAGGTGTCAAGATCAGTCTCTGATGACCTGAGTAAAGGTCAGACTCTCAAAGCTGAAGTTCCAAGGCTTAGATAGAACACAGCTATTGATCCCATTCAGTCAGAGGCCAGGACCTAAGGCTGAGGATGTGAATACAGTGCATTGTCATGCTCCAAGGTTACATAACAGTAGAGCTTAGCACATAACTGACCGTTTTTCCCTCAACCTCCCTAGCCTTCCTGCCTGCAGCTGCATCCCATCAGACAGTTTTCAATAAGGGCCAGATTTCCATCAGATGCCACAGGGAAAATGGTAAGTAGACCATGTTGCGGATCATAGCAAAAGAATGAGATCTTTACTCAAGATGCTGCCTTGTTTTATTTAATTTCCAGCCACTCTAAAATGGAATCTACTGGAGCCCTGACCCCATAAACATTTGTAATATGCAACAAGATCTGAGGCTGTGCCTGATTAAATTTCCAAATGAGATACGTTAAACAATATTTAGAAAGCATGTGACTATTGAGCAATAGCCTAGTGACTGAAGCCAATGACTGGATCCAGGGACTCTTCGGTATGGTTTGAAGTTGTCACACAGAGTCACCTGCACTAGAGAAAACAGAATGTCATTGAAATACACATGGGAAAAAAGAAAACTCACGGAAAGGAGACCTTCAAATGTCCTATTTTCCAGTGAACAGAGAGAAAACCAAGACAATGTCATGATCATGCTAAACCGGGTCTTTCCAACTTAAGCCAGCATTACCTTCTTGGTTAGAAGAGTGAATAACAGAGCCTGGAGGGGTTGAAGACTAATATTCTTCTCCCTGAACTCCATGTTATGAATTTAACTGCAAAAACCCATAATGAAGTCTGAGTCTCACTCGGTTTTTGAATAGTTAACTAACCATGTTTGTACAGACTTCAGATAGCAATGAGAGGTTCTCAGCACAGCTTAAAATTGCCTATGGCATATTTGAGGTCTGAAGAGTCTCAAAGGCCAGAGGTACAGTGTTGATTATAAAAGAGAGACTGAAAAAATGAAAGGCTGCATTACTGGAATGATTCAAAGTCAAATCCTGACTGGGTGTTTAGTTCAGTGGCATAAGTGCCTGCTTGGCAAACGCAAGGTTGTGAGTTCAATCCTGGGCACCAAAAAGAAAACAAAAAGAATTAAATCCTGTCCTGCCATCTGGGAGTAGTGATCACTCCAAGGAGGAATCCAGCATTTTATTCTATCAGTTATGAGGATGGGATAAGGACTCACCAACATGTAACCTTTGAAGAGTCACTTTGTAGGATTGAAAATCTCCATCTGTCAAATAGAAACAGAATGTTTCCAAATTTTACATTTCATAAGAATTTTTCCCCACTTTGCTACTTTCATAAATAATACATTAGAAGTTAAGTACTGTCATCTTTAGGTCAATATGTGTCAGCTTACTCATAAACATGATCTTGGTTATAGGTTGCCAAAACAATATGGTTATATTAATTACTAGGAAATTCCAAGAAATGAAAATCAAAATTTTTTTCAAGTGTGTTTTCCTAGAATCTCTAGAAATACCACAATGGAGCATAATTTTAAGAAATTAAATCACTTAAAATCCTTTTGGATTCACTTACTCCTTCAACAGTGCTTCTGAGTGTGCACAGTGTGTCAGTGATGTGCATCTTAAGCCTGTGATTCTTTGAACTAAGGAAAGAAAAAGAAGAAGTTCTGTGACATTAACTAACTTATGCGGAGGAGGGATTTATTGGGATCTGGTCACAGGTTGAGTGAAGAGGCTGAAGAACAGCTACAAAAACATTGTTCATGCCTCAGGAATAATCTGGTTAGAAGACAGACGACATTGGACATTGAATTTCACCACACTTAGATGAACTCTGAAATCTGCCTGCTTCTTTAATTTCAGTACAGAGTCTCAGATGTGCATCTCCAATTGCCTGAACTTGATTCATATGCCAGCGCACTTGATGCCTGGGAAGACTTGGGAGATGGGGAGTCTGGACTGAATAGATAGCTTTCATTGTTTAAGCAAAGGGAGCTGAGGAGTCTGCTTCCTATTCAAGGTTGAAACAAATGTCTGAACCTCAAACATGGAAAAAAGCTCAGATGGTGGACCCATTCATATCCACTTTCTCCCCTTAGCAAAATATCAGAAAAATTCACATTCTATTTTCTACTTTCAAAAGTTATTCTTCCCAAACTTTTTTGCTTATTTTCTATTTTACAAATAAAGCTTAAAGATATTAGATTAACTTGTTGAAGAATTATATGTACTGAATAGGCTGAGATGAAAATCTGGATCCTCTTTTATCTTTTCATTTTTTAAAACTTTCTATTACAAATCCCAGCACTTGGGAGGCTGAGGCAAGTTGCAAGTTCGAGACCAGCCTGAGCTACAAAGTGAGCCCAGGGCCAGCCTGAACCACATAGCAAGACTCTTGTCTTTAAAAGACAAAAACAAACAAACAAAAAAAAACTCTTTCTATTACAAACAATTTCAAAGATAAAATATAGGGAGATGAATATAACAAAATACTCTAGCCACCAACAGCTTACTTTCAGCCATTATCAATTTGAAGCTAATCATTTCATCTACACTCCTACCTACATTCACATATGCCACACTGGATTATTATTAAGCAAATCTCAAATATGTTATTTTTCCTGAAAATATTTCTGTAAGAGTCTCTAAAGGATATAAAATCTTTGATAAAGCCCATAATGCTAATATCACATCATACTAAAAAATTAGTAGTTCTCTAATGTCATTAAATATCCAATAACTTTCAAATTTCCCCAATTGCCTTATAATTTTTATGATTAGTTTGCTTGAATCAAAACTCAAGTAAAGCCCATGGTTTGTAATTGACAGATACTGTTGTTGGTGTTGTTACAGTTTAATTGTTGAAAACTGAATCATCTGTGGCGTTTCCCACATTTCAGATTTTGCCACTTGCGTGCCAGTGGTATCATTTACCATGTACCTCTGTAGAATCAGGTCACTGTAATTTAGAAAGGCCAGACTACAATCCTATGCTCCCCTCTCAAGAGAGTGCAGGGATTATTTAATAATTATATGTAGTGGGTGCTTTGGAGTTGTACAGGCAAAAAAAAAAAAAAAAAAAAAAAACATGTTTCATTCCTGTAACTTTCCACAATCCCACCATTCTCTTAGTTCTTTCTTATGTAAGTTTCACACAATAGTCTCCTATTTTTTCTCTGCATCTTCTTTCCCTTTAAGGAACATGCAGAAGATAAATGGTACCCCCAAAATGTAAGAACCCTCTCTTTTCACACCCACAGTCCCTCTCTCCTGGCCGAGCACACACAGAGCTGAAACGCTACTACAGCATCTGCCAAGGTACCGCCTTCCAAGAGGGAGAAGAAAAATTGAAAAGGGAGGAGAGGAGTCGGAATTCCCTGAGCCCCAGTATGGCACCCAAGCTCAGTTTAGAGGTCCGAAAACTCAGTAATGGCAGGTTATCTACGTCCCTGAAACTGGGTTCCTTACAGCCTCGGGGAGGGCCACTTCGAGAGAAGAAGGCAACTCAGATGGTAGCCATTGTACTTGGTAAGTTTGAGTTGGGTTACATTGATTTGGTTTAAGTTCGGTTAGTTGGAGCTTATAGTAGATGTCAGAGTAGCCACATTTGACATAAATTAGAAATCCAATGACTATAACATTTATAAAATGTTTATAATGCAACTGAAGTTTTGTATAAATTTTAATACGAGTAGAAACTTAAAAAACCTAGATAAAACTTATAAAACTAAACAAGCCACCTAATTAAGCTATATTTTACCATCATATAGAAATACTGTATAAATCAATTGATGATTGAATAAAAATATGTATGTTAGACATTTAATAAATGTTTAATCATTTTAAAATATTAAGTAAAAATGATTGTAAAACACTACTGTCATATAATGTGATAATATTTAGTTTACATTAAATACAGAGGGAAAAAAGGATGGAACAAAGTTCAGCAAGATGTTAAAAGTAATTGTCTTTTAGTGATAGTTGGTTATTATGGGTCATTTTGATTTTCAGTATTTACCAAGTTTTCCATTCTGTATACAATAAAGGCTAACTTTTATACTTCAAAAAGCATACATATTTTTAAATAAATTAAAATTTGATGCCATAGGTGCCTTATAGATTTAAGGAAGGTGATTTATACTTTTCAGCATCACTGGAAAACCCCAGTGTTCCTATATATGAGGGACTTTAGTAGAACCCCAGGATGTATCTCTCCAACAGCAGGGCTTATGTCAGTCATGTATGTAAGGTCTCCATCCCTATCAGAGTCTAGGATCATGTTTTGTAGAGGCAAGCCCTAAATAAATGCCTGAACTGAATTGAGGAGAAAAGACTGTAAAGAACTACCCAAAATGCCAAAGTAGAATATCAATATAGTAACAAAGAACTGAAGTGAATCAAAGATACTAGCAAGCAGTTTTCTCATGTAAATAGAAAAAGAAACATGGTTGAGCATGCCTGATCATAGGTTGATGGGAAAAGCAAATGGAAATGCTAAGCTTTTAGCATCATGGCTGACCTAAGGCTGACAGCTATAGGTCATTTTCATGTTATTACAAAAAAGTAAACAAACTCTCTCTTTCTTTGCAACCCAGGGGCCTTCATTGTCTGCTGGCTGCCCTTCTTCTTGACCCACATTCTTAATGCCCACTGTGAAGCATGCCACATATCACCAGAGCTTTACAGAGCCACAACATGGCTGGGCTACGTGAACAGTGCCCTCAACCCCGTGATCTATACCACCTTCAATGTAGAGTTCCGCAAGGCCTTCCTCAAGATCCTGTCTTGCTGAAGGAAAAAAGAAAGGAGACCCCGTATCAACCTCTAACAACACCAGGCTATTTTGCCTCCTGGCCGGGGCCTGCTCAGAAAGACTGCAATGTCCTCTAGCATGTGGTACAAAGATTCCTGGAGCCGGATGTCCCTGCATGGCAGATGTGACCAACTGCTTCCTACAAAACACAATATTCTACCTCCCCAGCTAACATCTGACTTCATTCGAATAATCAAAGGGTTGAGAGCCCTTAAGTGATAAGCAATAATTCAGAAAGAAGCTGATAAAACGTGACTCTTCACACACACACACACACACACACACACACACACACACACACACACACACGTCACTGGAAGCATGATTCATTATAGTGAAGGATAAATTAACAAATCTCATCATTTTCAACTTGCCTTGGGTCCTTAAAACCTTGGCCAGTAAACCACCTTGCAGAATAGCCAGTTCCTCTTCCCTCAGACTCTCAACTGTCAGCACAAGTCATCTTGCAGTCTTGTGGGCCGATTCTTTCCTGGTCGCTTTTTCCCTTCAATGTATCCTGAAGCCTGAAAGGCAAGGCAGTATTTCTGCCTTTCTGTAGAGTCTAACTGGCTAAGTTGTGTCAGGATTCCTCACTCCAGCAGAAACACTGTCCCATATTGGGACCTGTGATTTTATTTTCTAGCCTTGATACCCTTTTATTTTAACTCTAAATAAGAAGGTCTTCTGATTCTTCCCTTACTCTCTCAAGGCAATCTCGGAGTCTCAATGCCCAGAGTCATTTGAGATGGGGATATTACAAAGGAGTGACAATTCTCACTGCTCAAAAATTCACTGTTGAACTTTGTGATTTAGAGCATACCTTAGGGATGTGTCTCAGTTACTTTTCTCATGTTGCTGAGACAAAATACCTGACCCCAAAAATTAAGGAAGAAAAGGTTTATTTAGCTCACAGTTTGTGGAGGCTTCAGTCTGTAATCCACTGGTTCCAAGATAGGATGGCATGGCACAGGGACAACAGTTCAAGATGGCAGAAGACAGCAAAAGCAGCAAATGCAAATGGCAGAGAGGAGCAAGCCTCTTTCCCTCCCTTTTATTTTAAGCAGACTACCTACCCCTGGGGGTGGGTGTTGTATTTACACCATCTCTGTGCCCGCCTTTTGCACAGGCTCAGGATGTCTACAAAGTGAGAATGCTGGCCTCCTGCTGAGTCCCTTAATTAAACTTCTAAATGTCTGAGATTGTCATAATGTATCCACCACTACAGTATGTTTTGCATAATACTAAAAGACTTTCCTGGCCAGGGCATCTTCATCCTCTGATTAACAGAGTATTTTTAGAACCTAAGACTCACTGAAGAATTGTCTGCAAAGTGTGACTACCTCCTCAGTTCTGAATAAATGACAATCACTAGGACATTCTTCACTCCTGTATTTGCCCCAATGGGCCTGAGTGTGATAGGGCTCACTCAGACTGTCAGAGAACTTCAGAGCTGAGTGCACCAGGTAGGGTGACTGTCCAAAGCCATCACATGGTCACTTTGTAAAATCCTGTGAAAATTCTAAACACTACCATTCCAATGATTGAGATTAAAAAGTATAACAGAAATAGTTTGTAAATGTCATTCAAAATTGTACTTAGAAGGAACTAAAATATTCTCACCATTTACCTCATCAGTAAAAGCTATTTTTTATTGATTGCATAATCAAGATAAAATTTCTGGATAATTTATGAAATGTTTTCATTTTGAATGTCACTTTATTATCTTTTAAGAGCTAGTAGCATATAGGCACAATAGCTGTCTATTGTAATACTGTTAAAACTTTAAAATGCACAATAACTTTACAAGGAATCCAAAGCCTCTCTTACCCAGTCTTTTATTCCCCTAATCCTTAAATTTAAAACAAGGAAATATATATATAACACTAGTGAGTTAGTTATTTGTTACTCCTGAATGCTTTTAATAATATTTATATTGTAAATGGGCAGAAAAATTTGATCTGCTCACTAATACTTGTACCCTGTGCCATTCAGTTCAGTATGTACAGTGCAAGTAAAACTGAGTTCTGGAACCATTAAAATCTGCAAAAGTGAAGATTCATGACTTGTACATTTTTCTATGCAAAACAAACACAAAACATGAGATAGTAGGCAAAAGATGTAGAATTCCATGTAAATATCAGAATTCTGAAGGTAGAAATATAAACAACATTGATATTACTATCTTTAAGAGGAAGAGTGATGACAAATATATTGTATCCTTTCTTTAAGCAAATATTCAGCCTTTATAAGAACCACTGGCAAGAGAAACTTATTTTATAGACAAAGAAATTGAGGTAGAGGAAGGTTAAGACACTTGCTCCAGTTTCCAGTGCAGTGAACAAGTAGAAAAATTAGGATTCACAAGTGCATCCATCAAATCTCACGGCCCTGCTATCAGCCACCATGAATTACTGCACATCACCACCAAACTAGAGGAAAGGGTGCAAAGGGAGAGAAAGAAAAAACAAAAAAAAATCCTGGAAGAGTCTAGCCCAGCCTCACCCACCTGTATCCCAAAGTTCATAGAACCCAGGCCAAGACATTAACCTCACTCTCAGTTTCTAAGACAATAGCCAGGGAAATCCATGTCTAATTTTGTAGAATCTTGGAACAGTCATTGGAGTATATTTGACTCTACTCCTTCCTCAAATTATGTAATTAGGAACTGAGGCCCAGAACAGTTGTCCCCCAGTTAGTTAATATGGCAGAAGATCACTCAAATGTACTAAATCCTCATTTACTGCTCATTCTTTCTCATACCCCTAAGAACCCTGTAAAATTCCATATAGAAATAAAGTAAAAGTTATGTTTCATTTCCAGCCTTAAACTATGGAGCATCTCTTACTTAGTATCTATTATCCTAAACAACATCTGATTCAAAGAACTTTAGTCTGACCCAGAAAGTGTTTCCTAAAAGGATCCCAAACACATCTCTCAGGCACTTACTGCAGTCTCTGTATCCTTGATCTGACCTCCTGTACCTCTACAGCTCCCACCATGAACCCACACACTCAGCCTCTGGGCTCACTACTTTCAGAACCAACATGGTAGAAATGTCAGCATGAATGAAGCAGAGGAGAGTCCTTGGAGACAATTATTCTACAACATTAAAAAGTTCATACTTGCCACATTATTTGGAAAAAAACACAAACTATGAAAATGAAAATAGATTACAATCAACATTCAATTCTAGACCTTATGTAAACATTTTCTTCTTCTATGACATTACTCTCTAATAATTATTTACAAATCAATCGTTTATTTACTAAATAACAATTGCTCACTTTCTACGTGCCAAGCCTAGTGCTTGCTGCTGAGAAATATCATCCTTGAAGACGTGATCTCTGCTTCCTGGAAGCTTTTAGTCTAGTAAGGAAATAGACTTTTGGGGTATAGTGATCGCTTGCCTGTTATAAAGAAGACTCATAGTGGTTGGAAGCACTCTATTTAGTCTTAAGAAGACTTTCCAGACAAATACTATCAGAGTTGAGACATAATAATAAAAAGGTAAGAAAAGTGTTGTTTGAAAAATATCCTTCTGAAGAGCTAAGTAAGAACTAGCAAGGACTATCCTGGGAATTTCAAACAATTTCAACTGGCTATAAATAAGGGGCCCTGGAGAGAGAAGGGAAAGGAAGGAGCTTCATTTCTGAAGACTTCCTGCAGCTCTGTGCAAGAGACAGCTGAGCTGATGGTGCCTCTTGTCTCAGAATACCTCCAGATTGTGCCACCCCTGTCCCACAAGGCACACTGCAGACTATCAACTACTGACTTCCTTAACTATTTCTCATTGAGCTACTTGGCGCTTTCAACAAATTCAAGATTCAGTTTGAGTTACCTCTTTACTCTGAGAGAGAATGGCTAGTTGGATGCATGTGGCATTAGAGATGGTTAACATCAAGGCAATTGAGAAACTTTGGGATCAGAAACCAAGGGATGTCAGGCAAAGGAATGTGTTTTTAATAAATGCTTGGGTCAGAACTAAACAGAGAGGAAAAGGGTTAAGAGATTCACTCAGACCTGGTTTTTTCCTGGAGGTCTTAACTCCCAGATCTATGCTGTGATCATTTAGTATCTGCTGACATTAGAAAACTAAAAAAGCTTAATTTGAATCAATACACAGAGAGCAGAGAGGAGATGACAGGCAATTAACTTGATTCCTCCATTCTACCTAATTGTCTACTCATCAGCTTAGCAAGGGAGTGAGTTTCCATGACTACCTCCTGACACAAAGACTCAGTGCAGGTGAAACCAGCATCTGCTGTGTTCTGGGGCACATATTGGCAGATGCAGAAACCAAGAGTTCATGCCACACACAAGACCTGGGACTGCTTGTTCCACTCACCCTCACCTGAACTCATCACCCATCTCCATCACTGTGCATGGAATGCCTTCATAGGGTTTCCTGGGTACTAGCAGGAGCAGCTGTAAATCTTTGAGAATGGCTGTCCCCAGAGAGGCAGCTGGGCTGAGCTCAAGGTGTCTGTAAACCATCTTGTGGGAAAAACAAAGGATAGAATTGTGTCAAGGGCTGGAGCACTGGCTGTCACAGACAGGTGACCTAGTGCAAGTGGTTTAACCTCTCTGAGCCATTGTTTCCTCAGGCATAAAACAAGGACCTGAAGGCCTTGTCTACCTTATTACACCATTTGAAGCCACAAATTAGAAGTTGTCCTTATCTATTCCTGTTGCTATAACAAAATAACACAGACTGGATAATTTAGGAGTTTATTTTCTCCCAGTTTTGAAGACTGGAAAATACAAAATCAAGGCACTGTTAGGTTTGGTCTCTGGCGAGGGTCTGATTTCTCCTTCTAAAATATTGCAACTGACTCCTTCTGGATGAGACAAAGGCTGCCTCACATGGCAGAAGGGTAAAAGACCTAACTAGTTCACCCTCCTCTTTTATAAAGCAGGAATCCCATGCATGAGGGCAGAGCCTTCATGAGTTAATTACCTCCTGTATCTCTCACTTTTTAATATTGTTGTAGTAGGGATTAAGTTTCAACATGAATTTTGCAGGGGAGAAAGATATTGCAACCACAGCAGAAATGTTATTTAACTATAAAGCCCTAACAAATATTACCATTGGTATTGTTATTACTTGCTTGCTAAGTAACTGTTGCTATTATATCTTTCTGGCTCACAGCCCACCAAGCACCTTATCCCCTCAAGTTATATGGTGCAGTCTTTTTAAATTTCGATGTGAAAATCAGATTTTTCTTTTGTCTTCTGTTCCCTAAACATGCCCAGGATTCTTTACTGACTGTGTAGTCAGACTGATAGAGGAATGGGTGACACCTAAGAAGACACCATTTGCTGCTCAATCGGCCTCGTAACATACTCACTGTTATGATCTAATACCCAGGGTGAGGATGGTGCGTGTACTTGCTTACCGAAGCTGTCTTGATTTTTCTGTCCCTCTCCTGGTCAGCAAATGAGGAGCAGAACATATCTATTTTCCAAGACCTTCTGTCTCTGACCTTCACGATGTCTAAGCCTGCCTTTCCTTCCTCACCCTCCTTCCTCACCCTCACCCTTCCTGCCTGGCAGGAAGGCAATGGTGTGTCAGTTTCTCAGGGATATCATAACAAATACAACAAACAGAAGGATGTAACACAACAACTTATTTTGTCACAATTTTGGAGGCCAGAAGTTGGAAATCAAAGCGAGTGCAAGAGCATGATTTCTGGGAGTCTTTAGGGAGGAATCTTTCTTTGCCGATTTCTAGCTGCTGATGATTGCTGCCAATCCTGTTCCTTAGTTTGTTACAGCACAATTCTAGTCACTGGTTCCATCTTCGCATGACATCCTACCCTGATATGAAACTTCCAATATGACTTTTATGCTCTCTTGATTACATCTGCAAGGACTCCATTTCAAAATAGGACATTTACATGTTCTGAAGTTAAAGGCTATTGGTGGGAGACACAATTCAAACTATGAAATATGGTAGTGTGGTCTGAAAATCAAGAAACTATGGAACATGATTAACTTGGGAAAACATACAAAGTATTATGAGTCAGAATACAGGGTTAGAGTCTAGCTTTAACTGTTTCTTTTTTTTTTTTTTTTTTTTTTTTTTTTTTGTCTTTTTCCTTTTTATCGGTACCAGGGATGGAACTCACGACTGCCTGCTTGCAAGGCAGGCGCTTATGCCACTGAGCTAAATCCCCAGCCCCTAACTTTAACTGTTTCTTGAGTAGTCTAGGTTAAGTCTGTAAATTCCTCGAAGTTGAACTTTATTATTAGTAAAAGTGTCAAGTTTGGATTTGTAAGGCTTTGATAAAACAGGTTAAAATAATTCTAGAAGAATGCTAATGATCTTCTAAACCCTAAAAACCTGCAAACATGCTTATTAATAAAGCCCAAAATGTTCAATAACAATTATTATTTCTTTGTGTATCAAACTAGGAACTCAAGGCAAGCTCCCTGAGGTTAGAGAAAGCTAAGTAGGATTATCGTGTACTTATTCATGCAACACCACTTCAGACTGACTAATGGTGGTATAGGGTGTTTATACCTTTGAGAAAAATTGATGTAATTGAGTCTCCCATTATTCGTGAACAGATTTCATAAGTTTCCATATTAAAAATCCTCTAAAAGCTTGTAATTTATCATAACCTATGATCATGGGACTTGGGAAATCAAAGGACTTTAACTTACTACCCAAGTCATTGCAGATAATCTCTCCTAAACATCTACGATATGTGGTCATGTAACCATATTAAGGATCTCGCTCGCTTCTTTCTAAGACATGTAATAGGTTGTCCTTAGAAATCTACCACCACCACCCCATTATCCAAAATCTGCCTTCTTATAAAATTTATCTTTTGTTTCCTATTCTCATGTTCAGTACAGAGACCTCTATTCCATCTTCCCCATGTCAAGTTTTGTGAGATTAAAATAATTCTCAGAGTTTTAATCCCTTTATCTCTATTCAGTAGCATTTTCTGACACTATCCCTCATGACTGCCTTCCTCTGAATGTAGTCATTTTATTAGTTTCTCTCCACTAGAACACAATTTTCTAAATGCTGTTTAAGTAGTTCAG